TTGCTAACATACTTTTTATTTATATAATATGTATTAATTTTATATGTAAAATGTGATCGCTATATTTTTATATAATTATTATACATATTTAATATATATTTTATTTACACAGTTCAACCTAGTTTCATGCTTTACTGGCATTGTTTTTGAACCAAAATTATTAGATAATTTATGAACAAAAAAAGAAGTAAATCAGTAGAAGTGTCACATGATCCTTCAGAAATCATTCTGATATCAATGTTGAAAATAGTTGTGCTGCTTAATATTTTTGAAAACTGCTCATTTTTTTCAGGATTATTTGAGGGATCGAAAGTTCAAAAGAACAGCAAATGAAATGAAAATCTTTTATAACATTATAAAAGTCTTCACTGTCACTTTTGATCAATTTAATCTATTCTCGCTGAGTAAAAGTAATAATTTTTCATTCTTAAAGAAAATCTTGTATTGTATTATTGATGTGTATTATTTAGAGCCCGACCGATATGGGTTTTTTGGGGGCCGATGCTGATACCGATATTAGGGAGTAAAAAAACACCGATACCGATATATCGGCCGATATTATTTATGTGTAGGCTACATTATAGTACAGTATAGTCAAAAGTTTGGACACACTTCCCATTCGTGTGTCCAAACTTTTGACTGGTTCGGTATATAGAATACAGTATATAGCCTACATAAGCAGAATATATGTACATAAACACATATTTTTTGCAATGATAACTCAAATGTGGTGATCAAACACATATAATGATGTGACAAACTGATGTGCCTATGTAGTGGAGGCAGGGTATTTAACAATTTAACAATAAACTTTATTATTCAAAATGAGTCTGACATCAGTGCACTTAACAGTAAACTTCACTTCACTTATTATAAATAACTTAAATAACACAAATAGAACAAAATATATATAACTTGAATTAAGAAATTAAACAAGGTAACTGTGTAGGGCAAGCAAGAGACTGCCAAACCAACAGGGGCAGGTTTATGCAGGAAGCACAACTTTTCCAAATGTAAACATCTAAAATGAATAAATAATAATAATTAATTAAATTTTTTTTTCACAAACTCTGTGTTGTGTATTTTCTGGTAATCAAATGGACATGCAGAACATTCGTATTTAAATCGCCTTTTTGCGGTTTAATATTCACAGACACATATATATACCTGTTTTTTATTTATTCATCAAAAATAAGACAAATTCCATGAAATTCCGCGTTGTACAGTAAATTTCATTTTAATGACTGGATTCCGCGATTCCGTTCATGTTTTCTGCATCTCGGAAATCATAGGGCCCTACTAATGTAGCAAACGAATATGATAAGCTCATTGTGAGAGTAAAAGACGGGGACATTGTTGTTTATTTACTTAGCATTGAGTCTCTCCAACTAGGTGACAACGTAGCGTTAAATCACTATTCAACAGACTCAAACCACCACCGCACTGCCGTCTATTGGACTGCAGAAAGATACTAACTTTTCAATCTGCTACTGACTGTACTGACAAACTATGCTGACACCGTGTCCGCACCTCAACAGGACACGACAAAGCGACCATTGAAAATCATTTGAACTTTGTGTCAGCACGTCATAAATAGAGCGAGGCATCAGTTTACTGCATCCAGTGTAGACAACATACACCGGATGCGTGCCGCGCGATGTGAAGTGACCGATGTGATAAGCATGAGTTCTGGGCCGTGGCGTGGCCGGTATAAACACCAGTCCAGCTGCGATCAGCTCCGGTGGCTGTAACACAGGCTTTAATGCGCCACAGACGCGTGCCGTGATACGCAGATCAGCTGTAGTCTCTAACGTCACTGAATCTGCTGTTAAAAATGAGCCATCCATTCATCATATCATCATGCAAAACTAAGAATTAGAATCATTGTAATGTGACGATCAAACATAGGTGCAGGTGTGTGGCGGGCGGATTATTTAAGCAGCGGACTCGGGTGAAGTTTGAGCTCATCCGCGCATCTCTACACTACACTGACCTGGGTCGCCAGTAGCAAACAAGCGCTCTGCTGGACAAACTAAGTAATTACACCATTCAGAAGCATTTAATCTGCGTTATATGTTCTGTAAAAAAAAATGTTTCATATCGGCGGCATATTCGCCGGCTCATATCGGCCAATAATATCGGCTAAACGATATATCGGTCGGGCTCTAGTATTATTATTGGTAAAATTTGTATAATGTGTATTATGTTTTTTATTGTTATAGTATAATGATCATTTTGTTATGAAGAAATAGATCAACTATTATATTTTTTATTTATATAATATCAATTTTATATATAAAATGTAATAGCTAATTTTTTTATATATTTATTATACACGTTTAATATATATTTCCACATTTATATTTAGAATTAAACCTAGTTTCATGCTTTACTGACATTGTTTTTGAAGCAAAATTAATAGATAATTTATGAACAAAAAAGAAACAAGTCAATAGAAGTAGAATAGAAATCTGTGATAATGAAAACATTCAGAAATGTGTAACTTAGCAGCGCCAAGTAAACTAGATATATATTAACAGATCTCTTTGAATCCTTTGACAAAACTGTTTTGTTTTTTATTTGTAAAAACAATGCTGGTTACTTTTGAAGAATGCATCTGCTTTTAAAAGTATTCTGTCACACTTGTCGTAAGTATGCAACTGACGTGTCCCTCTTGGGTAATTGTTCTCAATAAAATTTGTTCCAGCCACTCTTTCATCAAGTGTCATTTGTTTTATAGAGTTTCCCTAATGGCCTGATTCTCAAACATTGCAGTGTTGCTTAAAGCTGCCCGTCTTCCTGGTTTGAGTGAGTATTTAGCAGCTCAGTCTGATGTTTTCTCCCCAGGGCAGATGGTTCAGAATAATAATTTAGCTAAAAAAATATTTTACGTTAAGTGTCCTTTGTGCTGGTGCTGGTTGCTCGTGTTTTACAGCGCATTATTGGTCCAGTGTTATGAGGGCTGTTTCTCCATCACCCCTAATGGAGGTCAGAGGTCATAGTTCAAGAGGTCACAGACAAAAAGCAGTAGGGGCCGTGTCTTTGTAAAAGAGTCTGGATGTCTTTAATGTAGAAGATATCCTGGTCTGTGTTCATCCATCCCTCCATTAAATAACTACACCAAACCATCCATTTAGATTTTTGATCACTTTCCATCATTCCATTAATCCATTTCTTTGAATAACGGTTCCAGTTCATCAAAATTGAATATTTTAGTGTATGCATCCATTTAGGGCTGGGCGATATAGCTAAAAAATAGCCACAGGAGGGCGCAATGAGCAAAATAATGCAGCGCATTAAATTGTTTATATAATGCAATTAAAATAACAGTCTATAAAAAACGTGCACAACGTCTAAATTAACATATATAAACCAAATATAATTTCATAAATTGCATAAACAATTATGAACAAAACAGCATCATGTATTTATACATAGCTTAATTCAAATAGCCGAAGCGCCGCTCACACAGATTGTATTTAAAAACATGAGACGCAGTGAAATGGAATAAACCTCCACAAATTTACATGTTTTCTAAAAGTTTAAACTCTTTTAATTGTACATGGCTTTCTATACATCTCTTGCGTGAGACGCGAGTGCAACAGTCATAGTTGTCTGTCCCAAAAATGCGCCTAATATGCGTTCTTTGTGAATGGCTTGGTTTCGGTTTTAACCGAACCAATAACTTCTCCGCATTGAGCTTCTATATTTCTCTAATATTTTGAATGAATAATGCCGCAGCAGCGTGTCTTGTGGGTTAGACTGGACAGACTAACAAAAACAATAAAGTACGACAAAGACACTTACCAGCATCATCACCGCATCTCGTGCGCCTCTGATGAGGCTCCCTCACCGACGCACACCTAACATCCGATTGCACCGTTTTTGCATTCAAATGCAAATATTTATTTTAAATTAGACTAATATTGATTTTTTATTCACAATCTAACAAAAACAATAAAGTACGACAAAGACACTTACCAGCATCATCACCGCATCTCGTGCGCCTCTGATGAGGCTCCCTCACCGACGCACACCTAACATCCGATTGCACCGTTTTTGCATTCAAATGCAAATATTTATTTTAAATTAGACTAATATTGATTTTTTATTCACAATCTCCTCATCACAGGCAGGCACAGCACTCTGCATGTGTTCGTGTGTGCTGTCTGCTTGTCACTCATAGCATGCGCCTATATCATGCGCTATATCGAACATTTTTTCTATCGTTATCGATGAAGGTGTACCGTCGATAAATACCGATACCGTTTTATCGCCCAGGCCTACATCCATACATATTTTTTTGAGTAATTATTCCAATCCATCCAGGTTTCATATCACTATTTCCATATATCCATCTTTTGAATAACTACTCCAAGTCCATCTACCCATCCAGATTTTATATCACTAATTCCAGATTTAATATCACTATTTCCATCATCCATCTATACAGATTTCATATCACTATTTCCATCCATCCAGATTTCATATTACTATTTCCAGATTTCATATCACTATATCCATCCATCCATCCAGATTTCATATCGCTATTTCCATCCATCATTCATGTAGATTTCATGTCACTGTTTTCATCCATCCATCCATCCATCCATCCAGATTTCATATTACTATTTCTAGATTTCATATCACTGTTTCCATCCATCCAAATTTTATATCACTATTTCCATCCCTTCATCCATCTAGATTTAATATCACTATTTCCATCCCTTCTTCCAGATTTCATTTCGCTATTTCCATCCATCATCCATGTAGATTTCATGTCACTGTTTTCATCCATCCATCCAGATTTCATATCACTATTTCCTTCATCCATCCATCCATCCATCCGACATTAGATTTGATGTCACTGTTTCCATCCATCCATCAATTCTTAAAAAGCAGTGTCACCTGGGTAAAGATGAAGAGATGGAGGGTTCATAGGTCAAAGGTCAAAGCTTAAATGCATCTGCATTAATCTGTCATTCTCTGTGATGTTATAGGCTTTGGAGCTCCGCGCACGCTGTGACTGTCCTGCCCTCCCCAAAGCTGACCCCCGTGTCATTTTCCACCAGGCTGTTAAATTGGTTCTGGACAATGACAAAAAACAAGAAAAGATTGCACAAGAAGAAAAGACTGAGAAACAGAGAGCTGGAGTCATGTTGCCGCTCCCTCAATCCCCTCCTGTCCCAACTCCGGGGTCTCAACCTCAGCTGGGATGATTGCTGGCCACATCCGCTCTGCCACAAACTCTGCTTAGTAAATGAGACTTGATGAAACATGACTGACAGGGACACATTCAAGCTTTCCTTTTCACTTCTCTTTTTCCAGTCCAGTAGCCCTGAACAAGGACTGAGAGGATTGTCAGATAGAACCAGACAGTTTTTTTGATCCATTTGATTAGCTGTCACTTTGATACCTACGTCAGTTAGTCTGTGAGATGATTTGAGTGAGAGTATGTACATCATTTGTGTGTGATGCTTGAGTTTATGCTCCTCCTTCAAGCATCCACGGCAGTGCAGTCATGTTAATAATGGAGCAATTGTAAATGGGTTTTTGATTGGTTTTAATGATGTTATTAGCATAAGACCCCTGTGAAGTTGAATGCATTATGGTGTACAGTACATTATTCATCAAACATCTGCCTCTGCTTTAATGTCCCCTATAGGTTCCAGGCTGTAATGTAACTCTTGCATAGCAGCTAATGTCACTGTGTTTGAAGCTGTGTGGAGCTTTGGACATACTACATTATTTAGAGGATTTGTCAATGGCCAGCTGATGCTAAATATGAGCCCAACGCTTGTGTTCTTGACAAGTGTTAAGTTTATTTTAAATGCACTCTGTATGAATACTATGAATGTAAAGAATATGTGACTGTAATTACATACAAGATAAATGAATGTACCAGTCTTGGGTCTCCAGATTTTTTTAAAAAGGCGTAGTCACATACAAAAAAAAAGTGATGCATGACGCTCCGCTCATACAGAAGTCTCTTTCAAACCAACCAGCTATTAATTGGTCAACGTGGCAAATTTGCAGCACAAGAACACGAGGGAAATGACTTTTTGCATGAGGAATTTGTTTCATCCTTTTACAAAATTCCCAATCATGCAGAAACCTGTTGAAATTACTTGATGTTACAGCACTTTACAGAGTGTTTCAAAGGGACTGATTCTTGGTTTAATTATACATTTTTATATAATTGATGGACAATAAGTTACATACCCATTGTATTTTCATAATGCAGGGATCTGCAACCCTGGAGAGCTCCTGTTCTGCAGACTTCCAACTCTGCTCCAACACACCTGCCTGTTATTAACAAGTAACCCCGGACACCTTGATTGGGTTTGGAGCTGAAATCTGTTGGACTATGGCTCTTCAGGAGCAGGGCTGGAGACCCCTGCCATTATGTGACTTATTTAATGTGCAAATTGAGTATTTAACAAGAATAAAGGAGTTCAGGAACTGATTGGACCAAATCTGAATGAGAGTTTGCAGTGGATTATGGAAGGCTACACCTCACCTGAAACACCACTGGAATCTACTTTAGAAGAGGTTTTTTGACCTGGAACCTGAAGGTTAGTACACCATCAGGTGCATCACAATGAATCTCGATTGCAATGCTTCATTTTCAGTTTAATACTATTTGCTGCTTTTGCTGTATCTTTGTTAAATGAACATAACATGAAATTAGTGTATTTACTACTGACAAGGTTTTAGGAGTACTGGGTTATTTACAACAGTAGATTAAAACAATTCTGTGCAAATGCTGATTTTGTGGATATGTTGCAGCATTATCTGATTTACATGATTTCTTTAGTGAATAGGACACAAAGCAACCTAGACCATGCATGCAAATAAATGGCATCATCTTCAGTCATCTTTTTCTGATTTTACAGGTAGGATTCAAACTATTTCATTTGTACCTACTTTCAAATGCAGAGCATAATACATCCAAGCAAGATGACATAAAGCCAGCCAATCTGCTGCTGGCACTTCCTCCCCTAGAGGCCACTTTTTATAGAGTGATGTGCCCGTAAAGTGCAACATGTTTCTGTCTGTCAGACAAATGTGACGCTGCACTCTGGGTCTCTAACGAGGGAATATGGAGGAGGAGAAAAGCACCACATCAGAAGAGAAGAGTGATGCATTTGCTCTTACTGGGCGGATTTTTGGTCCCCTATAGGTTCCAGGCTGTAATGTAACTGCTGCATAGCAGCTAATGTCACTGTGTTTGAAGCTGTGTGGAGCTTTGGACATACTACATTATTTAGAGGATTTGTCAATGGCCAGCTGATGCTAAATATGAGCCCAACGCTTGTGTTCTTGACAAGTGTTAAGTTTATTTTAAATGCACTCTGTATGAATACTATGAATGTAAAGAATATGTGACTGTAATTACATACAAGATAAATGAATGTACCAGTCTTGGGTCTCCAGATTTTTTTAAAAAGGCGTAGTCACATACAAAAAAAAAGTGATGCATGACGCTCCGCTCATACAGAAGTCTCTTTCAAACCAACCAGCTATTAATTGGTCAACGTGGCAAATTTGCAGCACAAGAACACGAGGGAAATGACTTTTTGCATGAGGAATTTGTTTCATCCTTTTACAAAATTCCCAATCATGCAGAAACCTGTTGAAATTACTTGATGTTACAGCACTTTACAGAGTGTTTCAAAGGGACTGATTCTTGGTTTAATTATACATTTTTATATAATTGATGGACAATAAGTTACATACCCATTGTATTTTCATAATGCAGGGATCTGCAACCCTGGAGAGCTCCTGTTCTGCAGACTTCCAACTCTGCTCCAACACACCTGCCTGTTATTAACAAGTAACCCCGGACACCTTGATTGGGTTTGGAGCTGAAATCTGTTGGACTATGGCTCTTCAGGAGCAGGGCTGGAGACCCCTGCCATTATGTGACTTATTTAATGTGCAAATTGAGTATTTAACAAGAATAAAGGAGTTCAGGAACTGATTGGACCAAATCTGAATGAGAGTTTGCAGTGGATTATGGAAGGCTACACCTCACCTGAAACACCACTGGAATCTACTTTAGAAGAGGTTTTTTGACCTGGAACCTGAAGGTTAGTACACCATCAGGTGCATCACAATGAATCTCGATTGCAATGCTTCATTTTCAGTTTAATACTATTTGCTGCTTTTGCTGTATCTTTGTTAAATGAACATAACATGAAATTAGTGTATTTACTACTGACAAGGTTTTAGGAGTACTGGGTTATTTACAACAGTAGATTAAAACAATTCTGTGCAAATGCTGATTTTGTGGATATGTTGCAGCATTATCTGATTTACATGATTTCTTTAGTGAATAGGACACAAAGCAACCTAGACCATGCATGCAAATAAATGGCATCATCTTCAGTCATCTTTTTCTGATTTTACAGGTAGGATTCAAACTATTTCATTTGTACCTACTTTCAAATGCAGAGCATAATACATCCAAGCAAGATGACATAAAGCCAGCCAATCTGCTGCTGGCACTTCCTCCCCTAGAGGCCACTTTTTATAGAGTGATGTGCCCGTAAAGTGCAACATGTTTCTGTCTGTCAGACAAATGTGACGCTGCACTCTGGGTCTCTAACGAGGGAATATGGAGGAGGAGAAAAGCACCACATCAGAAGAGAAGAGTGATGCATTTGCTCTTACTGGGCGGATTTTTGAACAGATGGCTGTATTTGTCCTCTCATCCACCCACCAGCCATTTCCATACAGACTGAGGAAGACCTATCTCTGAGAGATGCCACTTTGGTGTTGATGTTTACGGCTCTCTGTATATGTCTACATTTTATTGACTCTGGGCTGGTTATAGTTAATTTTCACAGCAGAAGAACCACTGAGGCCACACAAAGAGTTTGTGAGTTTGCCGGGAGAAACGGTTCTGGTCATGCACCATAGACCAAGTGTGGTGTAGGTGTTGATCAGGTATCCCAAAATGTTCTTTCTTTTTCAAAGGTAATTTCACAGGTAAATCCACTAGTTGTTTTTGGAACACTATAGTTGGTTTCTAGGCCATCAAACGTGGTTAATCAGCTAGACTTCCAACTGGTGGGGACCTGGTTGAATTGGTATAGGGTTGTCCCCGACTAAGGATTTACATATTGAACGTTATGTATATGCCAGTAGTTATTAATGTTCTGCATTTCTGTTTTGAGCTGTGTGCGCTGAAGATGAGCAGTAGAATGAAGCATTTGATAGCAGGTTTTTAATCAGTGGGATTTAACTCATCGTTTATCTCATATAGAATACGCTTCATTATTTATACAACATAACGTTAATATTACTATACTATACTATAAAACCATGGTTAATTTTGGTAATGGTTGTGATGTCTGATGTCCACATGTTTTTGTTCAAGAAATTAAAGAGGCTGTAGCATTTCTATCGCAAAAAGGAGGCCAAAAATAAAAAATTAAGTGGATATTTGAATTAAATGTTTGGCCAATATTAAACAAGGATTTGATCGTCCTGTAAGTGTAACAACAACAATTATCAGGCCTTTGGTGCCCTTT